GGTGAACTTAACTGTTACAAGTTTGCAAAATGAAAAGAGGTAGTTGAATTTCCAGTGCAACATACTGCAAGTTTAATAACAAGGATAAATGACAGTAGAAATAGTTGACATTAGAAACAACAATATAAAAATAATACTTTACAGGGCTTGGTGCAGCAGACTGTTCACTCAGGAAAGTCCAAATCCTGGTATGGGTAGAGAGATGAAAGCTCCCTTTACAATTAAAGTGAGGATAATGCAACAGTCAGTGGAGAAGCCACTGCCACAGTCCCAACTTAATAGAGGTAAGGTGCAAAATGTCCAGGACCCATTATTCACCCTGTTCTGACGCCTTTTCATGTTGACAGATTCTTGGTTTGTCCCAGTAACATCCTCTCTCTATGAAGTGATGTTCTTGGAACAGCACACTGATATAATAATTCAAAACAATAAACTATATCAACTCTGAGCTAACTGTTGGGCATGAACATTTCACTGTTGCTGAAGTTGGGCTTTAATGGATTCAGCTGAACTGTATAATTTACCATTGTGGTGAAATAAACTGCATCTTTCACAGATAGCCCAGGGCCCAATTTCAGAAAGCAGGCTCAGCAAACTCTGAGCCTAATCTCGATCTCAGAGTTGATTGAGACTGAGCTGGGAAACTCAGAGTTTTTGGTTCCAGAACAGCTGATCAGAATTAACTCAATCAAGTCTTGAGTATGTTCAGCCTGAGGGAAGCATGTTCACAGATAGCACCAAAAGCTGTCATCAATGGATTGCAGATGACATGATTGGCAGAAAGCAGAGTTAAACGCTGATCCACTTAATTCATCCCAACTGAATCGTAGATTTTAATGACCGGGTATGTGTCTTCTAAAAAAAAAAAAAAAAAAAAAAAAAATCTATTACATCAGCTGCAGCTAAATAGCATGAGGTGGCATGGGAACAGATTGCAAAGCATATTGATAGGTAATGTGAAGTGATGTTATGTAATGTGATGCCTTAATGTTTGTCTAATATACAGAAAATATATTAACATTTTAACATGTTAATGATGTTCATATATTTTGATATAATGTGCTATATCCTCTTATTCAGCTGTAATTTGGTGGGGTCCAAACGCACTTGGCAGCAACTCAATATAAAACACAAAAATATTGTACTGCTAAGAAACTTTGCTTATACTGACTTCATTCTTGCAATATTAGGCTGAGGTTAACTGAACTGTTGAATTACTGTGAAATGACTTCCTTTTCACGTAATCTCCTTTATTCTCAGATGGAGCTATGATGGGGATGTGAGTCCCATAAATGCAGCCAGTTACCATTACCATAGTAAGTGATGTGTCATATTGTGGGCTACTGAGAAAAATAAAAGAAACAACTCTCTTGTTAGATGAGCTCCACACAGTTATCTGAAAATACACTATTGGGCAAGTATGCAATTAGCTAACGTCACTAGGATGACTTTAATACTTACCTCTAAAGTTTACCTTGAATTACGGAAGCTAACTTTGTTAGCGGCAATTTAGCACGGCAAAGCTGGGTGCAGTGTTCAGTCAGATCGCCGATATAGGCGGGCGTGTGTGTCCTCTGGCTCCCCCTCGCTTCTCCACAACTCCACCCTTTCATCCTAAAAGTTGCATGTCTGGTTGTAGAAATCGAAGATGGTGACGGCCAAAATGCCAACCTCGAGGTCTCCAATGGGTGACATCACGGATGCTATGTCCATTATTTTTACAGTCTATGGACTGTGCCCCCAAAATTGGTTGTTTTAAGCCAAAACAGGAACTTTGATAACCAAAATGAGGTGTTTTTTTTAGCCTAAACCACACGTTAACCACAGTGTTGAAACGTAATGTAATGTTTCACAATATCCGCTACATAATAAGGTAGAAATGTATCGTATTTGTGGTTTCAGAAATGTATGGTGCCAACATTTGTTCTGGCAGTTGAATTAATGAGAGGAGTGACACCACTCATTGGTAGAGTAGAATCACTCTACTCATTTAACTCTCAACAAGAAAGCGAATAAGTTTATTTCCCAAGATGTTGAAGTACTTCTTTCAAAACGTGAATGAAATATCAAGTTCAGGGAATAGATTAATTTCCTTACCAGTAACAGAAAGTCTGATGGAGTCACTTAAGGGGGAGCTGAAGTCTTGACTCGAAACTGTCGTCCGATACTGACACTGGTACGATCCTTCGTCATTAAAGTTGACTTTAGGTATTTTAAACATAGCAGAGTTGGAACTCGAACTTTGGGTCTTTCTGAATGAACCTGAAGTCTTTCTCAAAGTGAATGTTGCACTCAAAAGCTGTTGAGTTTGAGTTGAGACCAAACAAGTGATGCCGACATTCTGACCCCAGGTAACCTCCCCAGCAGGATTCATTGAGATTCTGGGCTTTGGGAGGATTGCTGAAAAATAGCACAATGATATAACATTAAATGTTTTACAGCTTTGATCATGGCTGTATCATCTTTTTCTTTTCAATATGCATGTGGTGTGTAAAAATGTGAAGGTTAACAATATTATTCTATCTCTGTTACAGTATAAACATTTGATCAGACAAACAGGTTCTATGACTTTAGTACTCTTTCATTTTTAGAGAGTGGCAACGCTTGCAAGTGTCAAGCAGATTTACTGTAAGGAGGAAGTCAACAGTGTGTCAAAGTAGAAAACATATGTATATTAAAAGAAGACTCTTTGGCTGTATTTTTCATCAGCATTGAAGAATGTGAACAACAAATATACAAGAGAAAAATACCAAAACACACACACACACACACACACACACACATATAGCATTTGAGGACAGTCAGTATGTTTATATGACATTAGAGAAAATCAATTTATTGTGTTAGTCAGACTTAAAAATCATTATAAATCAAATTTCTTAAAGTCAGACTAACACATCCAGACAATGTCAGATCCAAACTGGACTCAAGGCGTTCTAAGCATGCTCTGCAGTTTCCTACCTGGGCTTTGACCCAGAAGTCCAACAGCATTAAATTTGTAACAGAAGAAGAGCCCAGTAATCACATGGTGAAATCTTCAGCCAGAGCCGTGACTTTTTGGATGGACAAACTGTACAGAGCTTTTAAGTTTTCCACCATGTGCACACTGCTGTTGCAAGTGGCTGTTCACTGTGTTTACCTTCATTAAATCACCTGAAAACAACACCAGGCTGCTTCAGTATAACCATACAGACCTCTTCACGCATCAAACTGGTCTGTTATATCTGGAAATTCAGCTTTCGTATAACAGAGTCATCTGGTTACAAAAGTAGCCTCTTATGTTTTATTCTTTAAACACAATGCAGTGCAAACACTGTTGTGTAACATTTATTAATAAGCTATTACTATGACCATGTACAAAGTGAGATATGTTAGAAATATTGTAAAATAGCGTTGGTTTGCTGAGCCGTTGTCACATTTACCTGTAATTAGCACAGCTGTGTCAGAGCTATGAGACCAGTGATGTGACTGGCTGAGAGAGTTATTAGAAATTAACTACACCCACTGATGTAGGCTAAATTCCCCTTTGCCCAACCCTTCTGAATATTGCGCTGCTACATGAACCAAAATAAAATGTGTGCATGGACAAGCCCACACAGTCCGTGCGCTTATTATTTAAATCAACTGATGGTGCGAGAAAGTAAGCTGAGGGCGCAATGCATGCTTTTGTACCTCCGTCGAACCACGCCGCGCAAAAGGGGGAACTTAGAGAGAGAGAACTGAAACAGGGGCATAACTTTATTTGGTGATCATGTAATGTGCTTCAGTGTTAATCCACTGTTTTATTAATGGAGTGTATAAAACTGCATGAACACTACAGAAAGTGACAACCACAGTTTAAACTGTGACAGTTGTCTCATGTCTCCCTTATATGTGCTTTGGTTTTGTGTGTATGTGCCTTTCTACTCAAGTCTACTAAACTTTTGTATGTGGTGTGTGTTTCGACAGAGCATGGCTGTCAGTCCACCACTGTGGTCCAGGCTGAGAGATCTCAACAACTATTTGATGGATTGCCATGGAATTTGGTACATTCATCCTCAGGAAACTCCCCTGACTTCTCCTCCAGTGTCAACCCTCGGTTTGCATTTTAGGTCTTCATAAAATGTCTTGACAACTATTGGATGGATTGCCATAAGAAATGTGCAGACATTCATTGTACTTTGGAGCTAGCCAGACTAGCTAATGTAAAATCATAACAGGTTTTCTCACCTGAGCAGACCACACCAGCATCCTCACCGTGTCCACAGTTATGTTTCCCAAATCCATTGTGCTGACACTCAGTTATAGACCTTTCACTTCCTGAACAGCCCACATCATCAAGCCAGATCTGTCCGGTTCCTTCACCAAAGTGAGCTGAGTCAGGGGCACTCAGTGCCGCACCACAGCCCAGCTCTCTGCACACCACACCAGCATCTTTTAAGCCCCAATCGTCATCACAGACTGTTCCCCAGACATTGTTGTAATAGACTTCAACTCTTCCAGAGCACAAGGTAGACCCAGACAATCTGATTGGCACACCTAGGCACAGAATACAGATGTCAAATCATTGCTGTGGAGGGGTAGCTGTCATTTAGTCATGACACAAACCACTTCTGTAAGACACATTTGGAAAAAGTTATTGTTAATTTACGTATTTTACACTTACGCACACGGGGAGATATAACACTTCTCAAAGGTAATCAAACACTGGATAAACTTCTTCACTTACATTACAGTTTAAGTTACAGTGTATTTAGCAACATTTCACACCTGTTACTCTAAAAGCCTACTGCAGCATGGGGTGACCATGGGCCTAATTCACAAAGCTTCTTATGCTGAGTTGCTCCTAGTGATGAAATTCTAAGAAAATTCTTAGAATTGTTACGTTTTAGAAGTCTTAGAAGTTCCCCTCAAAGTTAAGACTAGGTCCTTGTAAAGATAAAAGTTATTCACAAACCATCTTAGACCTTAAAAGACCTCCTAAGGTGAAAAACTGTTAGGATCAGAGAGGAGGGCTTTTAAGAGTTTCTTAATCAAAGGAGAAAATGGTGCAAACACAAAGAGGTCAGAGAAATATTCTCCAAACACTGAATGATAGTGTAAAACATATACGAAGGGCCATAGATTAGATTGTGCAGGGATAATATTTGTGGTCAGTCTAATTATGGGTATGCACGCCTATCCCACCTAACAGTATCATTAATACTAAGATACTTGAAAAACTGTAAAAATGCAACAGTGCAGCAGTGATGACTTGGATCTGTCTAATCCTTCCGTCAGCAGTGATCACACTAACACTGACAACACTTTCACAGTCAGCAGTTCATCTCATTTCCTCTGGGTGTCCACACCTTGCAGGCTCAAAAAAGGCCGTGTCTCTGACAACCAATCACATCTGTTAAAAGAATGCATCACACCTAGCAACAGGGTCAACCACACCTCCTCACTCACTGAGGTTAAAGTTTCTGTCCCTTCCTTGCTCAGAGTTGCTCTGAGAACTTTCCCAAATCACTCCTAAGCTTGGAATCCTTACTAAAAAATTAGGCTAAATTGGGAGCTCTCTCAGAGTATTCTGAGAATGTTTGTGAATACGGCCCCTGATCTTTTCCAGTGCTGCATCTGAGCAGCTCATGACAAACCAGAAAGACTAAAGGACAGAGCTGTTCAAATATACAGAAAATGATACATTTTATTGAAAACACTTTATCCAAAGGTTTTCTCACCTGAACACACCACAGCAGCGTCCTCACCATGTCCACAGTTGTGTGTCCCAAATCCCCTGTGTTGACACTCAGTTAGAGACCTTTCATTTCCTGAACAGCCCACATCATCAAGCCAGATTTGACCAGTTCCTGCACCAAAGTGGGCCGAGTTAAAGGCACTCAGTGCCGTACCACATTGCATCTGTCTGCACACCACCTTAGCATCAGTTAAGTCCCAGTCGTCATCACAGACTGTTCCCCAGATGTTGTTGTAATAGATTTCAACTCTCCCAGCACAGCGAGTAGACCCAGCCAGTCTGATCTGACCATCTATCAGATACATAAACATTACATACAATATTTTAATATTATACACAGACTTAAAACTGAAAAACTAAAAGGTTTTTATGCATCACACAGGAGAATGGACTGACCTGCAGCAGGTGGAGTACAGGTCAAACATAGAGAGACTATAGGAGAGAACAGAAAAGAATAATATGGCTTATAACATTCAGTTAGCTGAAAAGTGCAAAATATAGTAATATTATTATTATTATTATCATTATTATTATTATTATTATTATTATTAATTTGAGGGTGTTTCTTTTTCATGTTGTAAAATGAGGGAACGAGTCCGCCAGTGTAGGCTAATGTGTGTGAGAGGAGGAAAGTCCGAGAGTGTGTGATCAGTTAACCGAGAGGATCATGTCATACACTCATTAGTGGGCTCGTTCCAGATGAATTGCACCGTGGGGCAGAGGCGGTGACAAATTGCGGTCAAGTCGGTGGCTGAATCCAGATGTCCACCCTCTGGACCTGCAGACTGAGCCCTCGCAAACTTCAGCTGTACATTGTGTGACTTATTTACTGTCATCACATAGAGTAGAGACTTTTAAGCGGCTGATAGACAGCCCTCGAGATCGTTTTACTCGTTGCCGTGGAAACGTTAAACTATCGCTGCTGTCATATTCATATGTGATATACATCTCTTTATAACAGGCTACAGCCTTTGTAAATAAGAACAGGACTATTACTCAATAAGTTGGGCATTACTTACATTAGAAGACCTTCTGTTTTTCGGCCAATTTTTTAGTCTATTTCCCTGCACAGCCTGATAGGCTGCAATAATAAAATATATTTTCACTCCCTCTACAGCCTAAACTTATACATATCTCTGTATCATGATGTGGTTGAATATTATTTCTGGACTACACAATTCAAGTAACAATTTAATAGACCTAACTATCAATAACTATTCATAACAGTTAATATCAGTTTGCTGCTGCAGAGCAGACCTGTCATCTCAATTACACAGGCTAAATAAACTGTGTCTGACTATAAGAATCATATTTTCAAGGGAGAAAAAAACACAAGACAGCAGCTTTCATTAAAGATCAGTCAGATATAGTCAGTTCTTCACATCTGTACAGATGTTATTTTAAGAATGCTCACATCCCACTGACCATCAGTCTTTGTGTTGTGAGATACTTCAATAATTAAAACAGTCCAATGTTAGTATACAGTAGACTACATATAGTTTATGATACAGTTAAAATGGCCAAAAATGTGAATAACTGCCTTGCAGGACGATTTAAGGTGTGCCCTAAATTTTCTGCTTGTGTTCCTAAAATTTTCAGTTGGGGGCTACAGTGCTCCTATCAAAAGAAGTTAGTCTGGACGGATTTTTGATGACAGTAATTTGTGTATAATCCACATATTTGGGAAGGCTGCGATCATATGACCAATGTGCTGAATGGAGGAAAGAATAAAGAAGGACATGGTCCTATATGGTCAGAGGCTGGGATGGTGGATGGGACACAAAACACAGGACTTTACCCAGGAAATGGGTGTTTGGAACCATGTAAACATGGTGTTATTTCATATATTAATAACTATGAAAGAGGTGCCCCCTTTTTGTTTTGCTTCAGCACCTGCCAGAAAAAATGTCTGTGCACAGGACTTTTTTTCTACGTCATTAAAACTGAACATGTGTGTCTTGTCTTAGAGATGTTTTGTAATCGATTGAAACAGACCACAAGTTACCCCAAAGTTCTTTGCCACAGACTCAACATCACAATAAAAAAAATAATAATTCAAAGTAAGGGCTGAAGATATCCACTGATGTTGCTGGAGGAATTATTTATGCTGTACTGTTATTTTTCTTATAATAAAAAAAGGAACCGTTCACGCTCTGCTGGAGACAAGGCAGTTACATTTGTTTGTGGGAGATTAACGAGTATGTTGATGGTGTTGAATAAAATGTGAGGATTATGCTATTGGCAAATAAGGAGAAAGATCTTTACACTGAAAAATGAGTGTTAAACAAGTAATTTCTGTGCTATACAATAAAATATATAAATATATAAAAGATTTACAAAATAATATACAAAAATACATAAACAAACAAATACAAAAGCTGCTTTCCTAATAAAATGTTGAAATGTTTATCTTACCCAGGATAAAATAGCAAAGCTTTCTCTGTTGTATATTCCCCATCGCTGACAAACAGGCTGCTGTGTATCATTTATCAGTGACAGAACAGACGACACAAAACTGAACTAAAAACCGCGTTGCACAGAAAAACTTAACACCCTTGTCCTTCCTGGAAGACTTCCTCCTTCTAATTCTGGTACTTTTTTCATCTGAAACTACAGAGGAAGCCAGTAAGCAGCACCAAACCACAACATGTATCATAAAGTCTGCCTAATATATTTTTTTATTAATCAACAGAGAGTTCAACAGCTCTGTCAGCTGTATGTCTTTCACACAGGTTTGCATATTTGTGCATAAAGGGAGTACAGAACATGCATGCACTGCATTTTTGAGCTTAGTTATGTATGATGTCATGCAATTATTTGTAGAATAAAATATTTCTTTAAATATGCAATAATACATTTTGGCATGTAAGAAGCAAAAATTCCACATATACACAGCCATCACCATATTCCTAGTTTATAAAGGTTATTTATGTATTTATTGTCAACAACTAACAGTTTGTAAACCCCTCCCCTGTAATGACTATTGTCCAGTCATAGTTAGGCAACTGTAACTAGACACAACAGGACTATCAAGCTTTAACTGTATTTATTTATTTGATATTGACTTAAATGGCATTCTGTAGTTTTATGACACAAATTCAGGAAATACTGCTGGTCTACAACCATCTGACATGTTCCACCAGCACGGTCATGTTGGTCTGCTATCACCTAACACCAGCTTTATCAACCTGGCTGCTCACCTCTCAACCAGTTGCACAAAACTGGTCTACCAGCTGATCACCAGCTTGAGCAAACTGGCCCACCATGTAAATCCAGCTAGAACCAGCAGCCAACACAATCAATGGTCACCAGCCAGAAATAAGAAGCCTGCCTATGTCTACCTGTCTGAAATCAGTGAACCATTCCTTCAAAATTACCAAGAATTTCAAATGTAAATCTGCCTCCATGACTGCTGTTAATGTATGTAATAATATATTAAGAGGGTCAAGGCTTAGCTAATGTATCATTTCTTACATCACTGTACCCTGAATTGTATGTTGGTCTCCTTCTGGCTCTTTCATGAATATACTTTATTCTCCTCTTAGATTATACTGAAATATGTTTTGTTTCCTGAATATCTGAGCAGCAAGAATCTGAAATGCTGAAAATGTATTAGTAAATAAAAACACAGTTGTGTCACAGTTTTAAGAAAATCTCTACAAACTGCACACAGAAGTTAACATTTTCTGCCCCTTTTCAAACCAAAAAGACCTGGTAATGTAGGGCCAGATCTACTAAAGGTTTGCGTGTATAAAAACGTGTGCAAACTCACTGCACACGCAAAAAAATGTACAAACTGATTTACTAACAGTGTGCACTAAGGGTTGCGTCTTTCAAAGGTGCAAAATAGCACGTCTGCATCCAGTTAGTACGTTTGCTGCAATGAATATGCAATATGGGGAGTTTACACGCAATTGTGCATGTGCTGGGAGGAGAAAATGTAAATATATTAATTTAGCCTCGTAGCGTACCTGGCTCAATTCTTTTAAAATCATGAAGTAATGTTGATGTGAACAGCAAGGCGATCTCAAGTTGACCTTGTTTTCTCTCTTTCTCCTTCTGAATGAACCAACGGTGTAACTTTGAGTTGAATATTGGGGGGGTTGAGATTTCCGCCTGTGAAGCAGGTCTGAGGACATGCCCCGCATGAGAAAATGTATATATATATATATATATATATATATAAAGTTTGTAAGTCCCGGCGTGCACAGCAACTAAGTGCTTCTTCTAGGTGCCAGCTGGTGCAGGAGCGGATCTGATGAAGCAACATGTGAAACGCGTTGTTCGCCCCTTCTGTTTTTAACTTAATAAACCTTCTGTCAATCCTATGCTCTAGTGTGCATATATATAGCCTATATATATATGGCGAAAAAGACGAACGATAGCAAAGACGAACTATAGAGAAAACACGGCAAAAACTGCTCCAGAACTACTACAAAACTGTCAGAAACAACAATAATACAATTATTTACGACACCAAGATGAAGATGTTATTTACAAAAAAAAACACCGCTAAAACATCGCTACGACACTCACAGGCTGTACTCGCTTTGATCCGCTGACCCTCTCCTACTTGGCTGACTTCCGCCCTCTCCCCCACAGGCACTCCTGCCACTACCGTAATGTACCGTATATCACTGGAAAGCTCCGCTTCTCAGCAGACAAACGTCACTATTTTTTACTGCTAAATTGAGAAAATCTACCACATTGTCGTGTTTATAATACTTAACATTCATTATCAATAATTATGATATGATATTGGGGGGAGGAGTTGTGGTGGCTGGTTTGGATTATTGGGTTGGTTACAACCCACCCATCCCCCCCATAAATTACACCTATGTGAGCTTGCGGCTCCGCTACACTGTGCGACGCTCCAGAAATGCATCCAGTAGGCGGGGGTACACGTCGTCGGTCGCTCCAGATCCACGCCGCTGCTGACGCTGATTATTTACATACTTAAAACATACTTATTATGTTATATTCTTTTATTTCTGACATTACATCCCCCTAAATCCCACACACGGGACCTTTAACTTCAAAACAGCTCACAGGTTTTATGGGAAATGTCAATTTAGTTGGATTCAAATGATGAATAAAGATTAAATATTGCTTACATGCTCTGGTTGCATTAATGTAAGGAGAGGTTTCTACCTGCCTGCCAGGTACTATTCTGCTCTACAGGAACAGCAGCTCATCTGCTAGCTTGTTTTACTCACCAAAAACCAATCTAGGTGTGAGTTTCACCATCCTGGTCACTGAAGGTGGTGACACAGGGAAGCTTCCAGGCTCAGGTGGGTTCATATAGGCGCAGAGAAGCAGTGATGCAGTGTGGTTTGCTACTCAATTACAAATCCACAGCCTACATATAACTGTGAGTTTGCTTTATGATAATAATAATAATAATAACAATAATAATACATTTTATTTATAGAGCGCTTTTCAAAAACTCAAAGACACTTTACAGGCAGACAAAAAAAGCGCAGGAAAATACAATCAAGTGTGCTAAACAACAGACGAAAAGAGAAAAAAAAATACAGACAAGAGTACAAAGTTATAGACAAGAGTGCTGAAATTACAAAGTTAGGTGCAGTATAAATGAAATATCAAATAACAGTAAGAGTGCAAGGGAAGAGCAAGAATAAAATAGGTAGGATCAAATTTAAAATTTGCTTAACTATGCTATGCTTTACATCGAAGAAAGTTAAGAGGCTTTCATTTCACAGCCCAACCAGTGTGTTTTACACACTGACATTTTGTTGAAACGACGGCTGCATTTGGCCTTCTCTCTTACAGCTGTAAACAGGCTGAAACTAATACTGGTTCCTCTTTAAATAACACAAACCTCAGCTCTTCAGAGACTGGGCCAAGACGAGTGTCACTTCCTCAAAATCTCTTACATACACCGCTGTGGTCTGTAAATGTTAACTTACCCATGTGACAGAAACTCTGTGAAAACGATGAGGTTTCACAGTGCCCTGCTGGCTCCAGCAATTAAGGAAACAAGTCCACACAAAACCAAAAATGAAAGTAAAGTATTTTGTCACTATTTTTGTTTGTCTCACCCAACCCTAGGTCATATGTGCACTGCAGGTGTAGCAAGTAAAAAGAAACATTCTGCAGCACATCAGCTCTGCCAACAGTCCACATCAATTACATCTGTAATGTAGCCAAAATATAAGATTAGTTGACCAGCAAGCTCACAATGATGTTATGTAGCATAGTTCTAATTTGTATCGATGCATAACAACATTATTATATTATTGTATGTTTAAATAGAGTTTAAATCTCATTTGTTTAAATCTCATTTGTTAGAATAACGCTGGGAAAGACAGACAAGAAAGATACTGTTGTGTCAGTGTGATTTAGGGCTGTGAGTCCCAAAGTTTCCATACTGACGCCCTACTCCATTTAAAATTTGAATGATCAGATCATAATGCGTCTTGATGGTTGTTCACACTTGAGTTTAGCACTGTCCACCCAAGATGCATGTTAATAGCAGGTATAAACAGGCTCAGTGGCAGAGCTGAGGGCAGACAACTAAACTAGAAACTGTTGAGTAGTGAAGCACTTCACATAGCTGTTCCTTCCTGGCAGATGTCCTCCTGTGGTGGATTATTTACTCGACTGAAACTTCAGAGTTTCTCAGCTCAATAGTTTCAAAACATAGAGTGCAAAAGAGCGGAACCTGCAGCACAAAAGCAACACATCTATGGAGTATTCTGACTTTTATAATTGTTTTTGCAAAAAAAAAAAAAAGCAAATGCATAAGCGTTGTCTCCACATATACTGTACAATGCCTATAGAAAATATTAAACCCCCTTGGTAGTTTTCATGTTTTATTGTTTTACAGTGTTGAATAAAAGTAGAATTTGTGACTCTGATCAACCAAAGAGGCTTAAGAGTCAAAGTGAAAACAGATTTCTTTCTAACCTGTGTAGTCAAGGTGTTTCACTGATTGTAAAAGAATAAATAAAAAATAGATATACTGTACTTGTGTCTAGAAAGTCCAAACTCTAGTGTGTCAGAATTGTGATCAAACGTACAACTTGAAGACAAAAGAACACCCCGAGCAACTCTTTGAAGAAGGTGATAGAAAAGTACCAAGATCTATGACAAGCTTCTGTGCATACAGCTAATGTTCCCTCATACTGAAAAAATAAAATAGGTCAAATTCCACTGCTTTCCAAAATGTCATCATTATGGTTCTAACGGTTGCAGTTTCACTCCAAAACTACATGATAAGGTTTAGGCAACAAATCTATGCTGTTAGGTTGAGAAGAAAAAACCTTGGTTTGGCATCAAATATGTACTCTTGCCACAAATGTAACCTAAAGTATGATATGACACATCACATACATCACTAATTTAGTATGCTACACATATAAGCTTGCTAGGCTACGTTTTTATTAAAAGAAGCCAACACTGACTTTGGGACCTGAATACCTGTCTCCTTAGTTAAAGTCCTGTGTTTGTTTGACCCATCTTGTCACAGTGTGCACTTCCAACATGCTATACATGCCATTCTCT